TGAAAAAAGTTGAAAAATAAATTTAAACTGGGTGTGGTGGTATACACCTATAATCCCAGCATTCAGGGAGGCTGAGGAGGAGGATTGAGATCCTGTCTCAAATAAATAAATAATTTAAAATAAGTTTTTGCTTTTTCTACACAAAGTTTAGTATATCTTTTGTAGTTAGTGCTGTTCTACCATTCTTCATGAAAATTAAAGCAAATGAGACTATATTTTTTCAGGCCATCTCCTTGTCAATATTTTCTGCCTTATATGGCATGTTTTTTTGCTTTACACTATACTCTGTATATTCTTCACCAGGTGTGTTACTTTTCTTTCATTGCTGAGACAAAATACCTGACATCCAAAGTTGCAGGGGAGGGCCAGGGATGCAGCTCAGTGGTACTGCAAGACAGCGAAAAGCAACAGGGAACCTGAACAGTGTCCTGACTCCATTTAGACTATTGGGATTAGGGCAATGCCAAACCAATCACTCACTGTGTAGTGGTTTAGTAATCACACACCATCAGGGATGCAGCTCAGTGGTACTGCAAGACAGCGAAAAGCAACAGGGAACCTGAACAGTGTCCTTCTGACTCCATTTAGAGTATTGGGATTAGGGCAATGCCAAACCAATCACTCACTGTGTAGTGGTTTAGTAATCACACACCCTTAATCCTACCATCCCACATGCCAGATTTAGCTACCTTCAAAAAAGACTGCGTGAGGCTTGTGGGGGACCTCTAGACAGGAGCCATAACACCAGTATTTAAATATTTTTTCATGTCACATATTCCATTGTGTAGATGTTGCACTTTATACAGTCAGTACACTATAGATGGACACTTAGTTTTCTAGTCTTTGGATATTAGAGTGCTGAAACGAATACATGTGATTTTCTATATTGGTGGGGTAACTCGAATTCTCGATAGAGAAATGCTGTATCAGAGAGGATTGTATCAGTAAACATGACGAATAATGACAGTTGCCTTACATATGTTGATAAGGTATAATCCATTTTACTCTAGCGTCAACTGTAGAGATGGGAAGTATTGCTTTTTTAAAATATTAGGATGATTGGAAAGAACTAAAATATTAGTGTGTTTGTCTGGTGTTTGGTTGGTTTTTGGTTTTTGAGACAGGGCTTCATTATTTATACTGTTCAAGCTGGTCTTGAACTCGCTGTGTAACCCAGACTGGCCTCGAACTCACATTGATCCTCCTGCCTCAGCCTGCCCAATACTAGATCTATAGATGTGTGCCACCAAGCCCAGCTCCATGTTTTTGTTTTTGAGAAAATTTGTAAGTATGGTAAAATCCTGAGGATCTTAGGAATGTGAGTTAGAATGATAAAGGATATATTAAAGAAGTTGTTGGGTAATAGGCTTTTTTTGGCAGTGTTGAATTTGTACTTTTTTTTTTTTTTTTTTTTTTTTTTTTTTAGTTTTTTGAGATGAGGTCTCACTATGTACTCCAGTCTAGCCTTGAACTCGTGGCAGTCCTCCTGCCTCAGCCTCCTGAGTACTGGGACTATAGGCATGTACCACTTTACCCGGCCCTAAACTATATCTTTAATATGTTTTTCTAAATAAGTTCAAGGATGTTTAGAAAAGTCAAAAAGGTTGTGATCAAAATCTACTGCTTTTCTCTATGACAAAAGTAATTCAGCAACAGGGAAAATGTGGGTAATTATTACAATTATTCTACTGGGTGGATCATTAAGATTTTTTTTCATCAGACAAGATCTTGCTGTATGGTCTAGGCTGCCCTTGAACTCACTGTTGCCCCAGCTGGCTTTGAACTTGCAGCCATCTTCCTGCCTCAGCCTCCTTAGTGCTGAGATTACAGGTATGTGCCACGATGCCTTAACATTGCTTCTAAGAATAATCTGGGGCAAGGGCTGTAGCTCAAGTATCAGAGCACTTGCCTAGCATGTAGGAGTCCCTGG